GGCCCGATGAAAATTTATCGTAAACACAAGTGCACTCGACAACCGGTCATCTGGGCAGTTATTTTGCGATAACATCAGTGCAAAATAATTAGCCTCGTACGAAAGCATTTTGCGCCGTCATTCAGCGCTAATCAAAAAGGCTTCTCCTTCATGAGTGCAACTTCATGCGAATCTGAGGGGGGGGGGCAGTTGTTTGGGCGTTTACAGCTGCATCTGCATGTTATGGCCAACTAAATGCATCGCCACACGTAGACAGAATTCAAATAAATTGTTTAATTGCTGGAGTCTCGGATGCGGCCAGGAGGTAGGGGGTGACCATCGACACTGTCCTCTCAGACAGGAGGAAAATGCCGGCTGACTTGTACACAAAGATACCTCGTGTGGACGCATGGTAGCCAATGGGGAAACAGATGTCACAATGGCCATAAACGGTGTGGTAGAAGGGAACAGCTTCTTCCCGAGTTCAGAAATGGTCGAAAAGACCGACTATTAAGACTATGCCCTAGTCCATTGCCCTCGGAATGAGGATTTCGTCCAAACGAACGACTTGGTTAATTCCTGACTTGAAATTCCTTGGCGTATTTGTGTGTGCCATGACAGCGTTTCCGTTCTGTGAAGGCATCTACTAAATTGTGTGATGTGAGTTTTCAAATGAGACTTAGCTTATTACTGCAGGTTTTAGTGAAGAAGCAAGGGGAATTACGTAAACCGTTCGTGGAAAGATTATTTTGCCCGGGCTAATTACGATACAAATCCGGGCAATGCTAGCAAATCGGCGGTAAATGCGTTTCGGGGGCTAATAGCGAGTGATGCGGAATTGAGTGTTGATTTGGCTGTGGTTGGAGAGTCGAAGACGAATGTAGCCAACCGGCTGGTGACTAGGGATTCCTTGGCGTGTCTGGTATGTGCCATAACAGTGTTTCCGCTTTTAGAGGGCATTTAGGGCATTTCTAACAGCTGTCTGTCTACTTGCATTTGCTTCCGGCAATTGGTTTGGTTTCCGTCTCTCGAAATTATCCACAGATTGCCTCGTAATTTTAGGTAGGAAATAGGTGCTGCTTCTGAAACCTTCCAATTAACCGTCCTACATGCAAGAATTTCGTCTAAATTAGTATTTAGATAATTTTTTACTTATAATTTGTTCAAAATCTTTCAAACCGTATCTGAATTACGTGAGTTTGGTAGTCATCTGGTGGATTCTAGGTGGATTTCTTATGAAATCCTGCTTGTGCTGTCAGCTTGCTGTATCAAATTAAGTGGATTCTGGACGTTGGAGTAGGCTGGGAGGGAAACTTGACCCAAATGTGATTAAACTCGCGTCTCCTGGTGGGGCCTCCTAGCTCAGGTGGTTAGGGCGTTGACTGTACTAAAGCTCTCCGCTTGCTACCGTGTGTTCGAATGCCACCATGGAGCCGAGTTTATCGCAGTTGGGCCAACATGAATAAAAATTTGTTGGCAATAGAGTACCTCCATAACGCCTTTCTTCCTTTCGAAGAAGCATCTATCTAGCAATTTTACGTGGATGTTCGAATAAGGCTTGGCAGTTGACTGCATGTTTCTAACCAATAGCAAGAAGCTACTGAAAAGAAGACTGGTCGAATACCGGAACAAATTGCTTATCATCCTGAGTTTACGAACTGGCGAAGGAATCCACCCTCAGAAATAAAAGCAGTAACAGAACAAACGATAGTCATAGGGCGTATTAGCCAATAAACGGTCAGTGACGCATTCTAGTGGTGGACGTACGGGGTCCTGTATGACAGCGCCAGAGCGATATATCGATTGACTGAGTTTGTGGCAGCCAGACATCATGACCGGTCTGGCGTCATTGTTCCAGACCTCGCTGCCTCAAGGTCATTCATCCCTCGGGGAGCAGGCTTCGATCACTTCTCGTATCGTTTTGCTTCCGGGGTGGACGATTTTCCTGGCGGTTGCGAAGTCAAATTCATGACGAATTTGAAAGTTGGGGTAACAGCATGTAATAATTTGCCGTTCCTTTTCACAACCAGATAGGTTTATGCATGCGCGATCGGAGCGCGCATCCTGTTTGACCTGTGAAGTAATGAAGATAGTTTGGTCACGAGAGGCAGTACACTATCCCAGGCTGCTCTCTGGTACTTGACCGTCAATTTCCGCTATGGCCACCGTGTGCTCCACATCAGGGTGAGAGCAGTGAAAGTGGCTTGATTGTGAATTACTTAAATGTGATGGTGAACTTGCGCAGCATCAATTGCAGAAGACCGGAGATGGGAGAGGTCGCAGGTGGTTGATGCAGCCGGAGCCGCCCCTAGGCGTGTTACCACACCCGGCTCGGATCTCACGGAATAGGAGTGCCATAGAGGCCACATAAAGGAGAAGCCATAACCACCTGACTCCTAATCCATCATTCGGTCACTCCACATAACAGACAACACTGGGCCGACCATGAAATCCAAGTTATCCCCTCAATTGGCAACCTTCCAAGCCAGGGCTTTTAACGCACCGTGATTGGCTCAAGCGCATCAGCTTGTCTATAGCGTAGAAAATGCGCTGGGTCGTCGACCTAACTCTCTATTTTCACTCCCAAGCCCCAGCCACTGTCCGAGCCGGTCAGTTGTCTGGTGCGGGAAATGGGTGCAGTGGCCGACACAGCTAGAGAGACTGTCTACGCGCGCCACATACACGACGAGCCCCCCAACCGCACGTATCAGGATTTCACACACAAAATGGATAGAAGGCTTGGATCTAACCTGCAGCAGGAAAGCCAGACTGAGAAAGGCGTCGAAAACACACTTGCCAGCTACGCGAGAGGTGTCGGTAATGTGGGATTTTTAAGGGGCGTATGCGTGGTGTATATATTGTTGGAGGAATGTGTAGGGTATGCTCCTGACTGCAGTGATTTGCTCCAGGCTTTCATGAAGGCACATATGACCTAATATACCTATTCGGCAAATGTATGCGCATGGATATTATGGGTAGTTAAGGCGGGTGCGGAGGTTGTATGTTGAAGCTGTGTGCGGTGGATGCGCAAGTGACCGATCAGGTCGATATGTGATGTACATGTGCGGTGGCGGTAAGGACATGATGAGTTCGGGGCTGCAAAATCGGTTGGGGTGGTGAGGGTGTTGACCGAGGTAATGTTAGTGGATGGGGAGTTGTTAGTGCCGGATATGGGAGTGCTATGGGGTGTGCGGGGTGTGAATGGGGTGTTGATAGTGTGGTAAGCTCCGCATTTTTGGGTGCGCGTGTGGCCGAATAGGCCGATGCGGTGAGCAAATGAGCGTGCTCAGTGCGGACAGTGGAAGCGGGTGCGGCTGGTGCATGTCGGGGCTCTGGGCACTGTGCGGTGGATTCACAAGTGACCGGCCAGGACGATGCGTGAGATGGATTTGCGGCCGCAATGATGACCGGTTGGGATCGAGTCCACATCTCTGGAGGTGGTAATGATGATGGTGAGGGTGTTGGTTGTTGACAGGGCGTTAGGACCGTTGCGGTCTGTGGCGGGGGTGGTAGAGGTGATTATGTTCGTCATCGCCGCGGTGACTGTGACAGAGATGATGGAGGTGGCGGTGATCGACGGCGGTGGGACAGAGGGATTGGGAGCGACGGTGATGAGGGTGGGCGCTGTCGTGGTCGGCGCGGGGTTTGGAGCAGGGGCAGTCGGGGACGGCAGTTGTCTTGAAGAAGAAGACACGATCGCCGGGACAAGAGATTTATTAGCCTGACGTTTCGGATTCCTGATCGAATCGCTGATGATGGATTCGAGCAGGAATCCGAAACGTCAAGCTAATAAAGCTATTGTCCCGGCGATCGTGTCTTCTTCTTCAAGACTGCTTCCTGGGACTCGTCTCTTAGCTTCTATTGACAGCAGTTGTCGTTGTCGGATGGTTGGTGCACTGGGTCAGAAAATGCCAGACGAGGCCCACCAAAGAGGGCATGTTGGGTGGAGTTGAGTGACGATGTTGCGGGACAGGGGTGCCTAAAAAGTACAAGCTTCTCCCTTGGCGGCGGCGATCCGGTCTGCCTCGTAGATTGCTGCGCCTGTCTCCACTGCATTTCTCCAGACCGGTCTCCAAGGCCTCGGGGTTGATGTGCAGTAGTTTCAGGGAGTTTGTAGCAGTCCGCGCTTTCCTATGCTCCGCCGCTTTGTCTGTCTGCCTTCCTGTCCGCCTCACGCTCCCTGTCAATTCGCTGATGGGACCGCGCGAGGCTGGCTTGTCACTAGCCTCTCGAGAGCTCGAAGCCAGTCGAATCTGGTCCTTCTCCGATTAGCTGGCGGACGCTAACTGGGACAGACCGAAAGGCGCACACACGCGCTGGGGTCTATGCACCTCAACGGCGAACACGGACGAACACATCTTGCCTGGAGAGATGGCTTGCAGCGACTGCTTGCAAAGCCTTGTGCACGCACCTCCTCAGCAGTAAAGGTTGTCTAACCCAATCCGCTTTCCCTGACTTCTGACCTGGGAACCTTTGTCTTGTCGACCATTGTGAGCATTCGAGCCAGCCTTCAATCGCAACAAGTTCTTCGGAGTGCCCTTACATGGCTGTTTATGTCCTCCTAGTCGGCTAGCACCCGTAGCAGCATCGCCGTACATGAGTCATTTGTGTAATCGTGTATCACCCATCCCCACCAGGTGGCCACTCCATCACAGTTGCCTCAGCTTGGCGTGGATGCTAATGCTTGGGTCCAGGACTTTCGTGTCCGGGATCCTGCCCTGCCATCTCAGCCTCACAATTCTGTGAGGCAGCTGAGATGGACGTTGTTAAGCCCTGACATCGCTAGAGTAGATGGTCCATGTTTCCACTCTGTGTAGAAGTGTCATCAGGACGACAGCTTTATACACCCTCAGCCTGATCTTCAGGTGGAGGCCGTGGCGGTTCCATAAGGAGTTCTACAGCGTGCCGAAGGCTTGGCTAGTTTTAGAGATCCGATAGGCCACACCCTTGTCGATTTTGATGCATCGTGAGAGTATGCCGCCTAAGCAGGCGAAGTTAGCCACGGTCTTCAGTTGAGTGTCGTTAACATGGATGCGACGAGCATTGTGTGCGGCGTTGGGTGGCGATTGGTGTATGACCACTGCTTTATCCGTGTTGATGTTCAGTCCGAAGTTGGTGCATCCAGGGGGGGAAGAGATCCATGCTCCTTTTCATGTCTGCTCCTGTACCGAGTTTTGGAGCGCAGTCTTTCCGGAAGGGCGGGTCATGGACTGTAGTCGTGGAGAGGCGTGTTGAGGCCTGCATGCGCCGGCTGTTAAGATGTCCGTCGGTCCTGTAAGCACTGCGACACTGGGGGTGGTTATTACGGTATGCGTTCGTCAGCAATGCGGAGAACATAAGTCTAAAGAGGGTGGGGCGAGTACGCAGTCCTGCTTCACTCCGTTATTTACTGCAAATACCTAGCCGGTCCTTGATTCTCATAGTCCAACTGGGCCTGGTAGCTTTGGTCCAGTGTGCAATTACGACACCTAATCGCACAGCAATGCGCTTGGTCGCTTCTGGAACTTCCATATTGTACGGTGAGGAACATTGTGCCCTTGTTTTTATTTCTGCCCCGGCCCTCCAGCGGCGAATTAGTATACATCAGCTTGTAAACGCATAACCTGGTTGCGGATTTATCAAATGTCGTATGCTTTTTTCTCTGGGTTGCTGCAGTGAGTCCGATTCCACGTGAATAGCATTCTTACACAAGTTCATTTGTGATCCATTGGGTGGTTGCTATTCTGCTGTTGCCCACGCCTCTTTGACGTTGAACTCCTGTACGAGTTTGACTGCTCATTATGATAAGCAGATTGTTCCGAAACTCGATGAATCTTCCTCTTTCTCACTCATACATACACCTGACACTCGGACATTGGCTTCCATTTGTGAGTAGCAAGAAGTCTTTAGTGTTTATCCACCACAAACAAACCCCTTGTGAACAGATAATTTCCCAACAGGGCGATTACGATACAAGTGCAGACAATCAGAGCATATCCTAAATAAATATGTGTGGAGAGGAAGCAAGAAGGGCTGTGCAGTCGGAAATGGTTATGCGGATGCGGAAGGGGTGCGGAGTCTGCATATGTGCAATCACCTAGTGAATGCATCTCTTCCACAAAAAATATGTAGCCGAGGGGGTACTGCAGTAGACAGGATATGAGCCAACCTCTGGCTTCTGGAGTTTGACTTTCAGCACCAAAGTGTTTTAGTTCGGACGAGTTCAACTAAACTGCTTAAGCAAGGCCAACGATTTATAAATTCACATCATTATGGTTCTCACTTATTGCTCAATATCCGACTTTTCCAAACTTCCGCGACACTCCTCAACCAACTGACATCGGGACCGCAAACCTTTTTTATTCATACCTGCCAGTCTTTAATTTTCATTATTTTTTTTCCTCGATATATGGGCGCGTCCACCGATGGTTGAGAAAACTGTCGAGGAGGAGGTGCGCTATTTGTGTCGTTAGAATGACGGAAAACAATTTAGCTAGTCCATTTTCTTGGAAATCGTGCTGTTCATGAGCGTGCATTTGTGAACCCAGGTTTCAGACTTCTTGTTTTCTTTAAGTGAGCATGTATTTTTGGCGTAGTCGTTGCATAAGTTTTAATTAAAAGAGATTTATGATGACAAGAGTTCTTATAGGGGTTAACGGCAAGCCCCAGAATTTGTACGGCTTTAGCTACAGGGAGTGATCTTGTGATTTTTCCACGACTGGGCATGTAATCCAGTGTCATCGGATCAGGCGACGCTGTTTAAAATTACGCAAACTGACTCTAATCCCTCTTATGAATTAAGGAGCCCCATGAATCCGTCCAAGTTAGACCTGGATGGTTATTAACAAGGGTGTTTACTTTAAGAATGATACATAAACTACTGTTAACTAAAAATCTGATAATTGCCTTTCCTTCAAAGCAGGGCGCAATTTTTCCGCCGAACCTTGTTCTTTCAAGACAAGTACATAATTAAGTTAGCAAAGGTTTACAATTATGAGGTGATTTTTCGCCCTTTTGCAGACTGGGCTAGAATTTCCCTAAAAATAGTCTGCTTGTAGCTGCATACGCATAAACTTGAGATCTTACCCCTTGCTTGTAGAACTACAGTCCAACTGAAACTATTGCTGATAAAAGAAGGCGTAGTCGAAAGTTGTTATCGGGGTTACAGGTTTCATATCGCACAATGTACGCAACATAGGCTCACTTGACTAGAACCATGCGAGTATTTATGAGGAGAAAGGAGGAAATCGTATTTTGTAGTTGCTAGATCTACTGCGGTTACCACAGCTTGTAGAAATATTCTGCGGCGAACTGATGCCGACTTTATGAGTAAGAACTTGAGTCGCCAGATATTTCCTGATACATACTGTAATTAGTTATCAGGGAGAGAAGAAGAGAGAAAAAGAAACATAGCTGGATCCAGCAGCATTTGAGAGATGTATCTGCTGGGTTTCCGCATATCCTTTGATTGACAGTATACACTTTACTCACCCGCCTGAAAAGCACTCTTCCACGGGTTGTTGTCATGGGATCACTATTTTCATTCACCGGCAGGCTTTACCTACCTTTCCGTCTTCATGCATAAGTATGTGCATTCTGCTAGAGGTACTGGAGTTGTACGATATGTCATAATTTTCAGTCCATACGCATGCTTCGCTGATATTCTGCTGCTGCACGACACAGCTGCGAGGGGTTCGGCTCATCAATGAGTCCACAAGCGTTCCCTGTGTGCTTTCTGATAGGTGGCAGTTCGAGTGTAAATTTCAGCGATTTCCACCGTGTGCCCCACAGCATGGTAGAGCACGAACGGTGACTTTTGCTTTAATTAGTTTACAGTGAAAACAGGCTTAAACAGCACCTACCGAACTCTCTCCTCCCCCCGCTTGGACCTGGTGTCAGGACATGACCAATAAAACTGAAGGCGGTAGCGGCCACAGGTGGCTGACACAGCGAATACCCGCACCTAGGCGTACCACCACAACCCCTCGCCCACAACTTACACTGAACGGGATATTGCGCAAGAAAAATAGAGGGGCGGTGGAGACAGAACGAACACCAATTGGCACGGCTCGCGCTAACAACTAGGCCTGCCCTCGCACCCCAAATATTGACATTTGTTGTGGGCGCGTATTCCGATAACGCTTGCCGAACTCCAATCTGACCCCTGTATTGATCTGGTAGACACTCCAACATTTAAACTGCAGGCCCTTAACTTCCTTAGAAACTAGTCTCCAAATTTGGGTAAGTCAATCTATTTAAGACTTGTAGGCTCAGACTGAAATTTGATACGAATCGTTTGGACCATAGTACGTCAGCTACAGCGGAATAACTGCGTAATATTCACAAACTGTCAACAGGCAGCCAATAGTATGTGTGGGCTGCACAGTATACTAGACGGCACAGATACCAGCTAAAAGCTCAGATACATGTTTAACCGCCGAATGACACAGCTGCGAGGAGTTTGACCCAGCCGGGTTAATCCCTACCGTTTGATTAGTCAGCCTGTTAGCTACACCAGCATGTCCTCAGCGAATTTGGAGAGTCGCGTCCACTGGGCGGCAGGATAAGCCGTCTGCCCTCACAAGTGGCGCGCCTTCGAATTTTTGATGCCCACAAGCGCAACCGATCGACGACAGCAACGACATGGCCGATAGTTCACGTCTGTGAATATACGCTGAACACCGACGCTCGTTCCTTCTCCTTCTCCGACCACTTGCAGTTTTAGTGCGTGTTATTTGCGAAGGCAATTTTTAACTGAAAATTCTGATCACGTCAAAATAACATGCGCCCTCTCTCTCTCGCTTGCTTCATCTCTCACCCCTCCTTATCTCAGCGACTGGCGGCACCAGTCTTTGCCCGATAACAGATTGGCAATGTCGCCCCTCTCCCCAATACCATTTCTTAGGAGAACCGTTCAGCTGAGTGTTCCGCTGTGATTTATTGGCCAGCTGAGGCAAGGTCTTGACTTTGCAATAGCTATAGGACCGGGTGGAAGTCTTTGTTGTTTTTTGCGGACCACAGGTTGGTGAGCCCTGAAGATGGCAGTAGGCGAGTTAAGCGGTTGTCAGCTCTAATGAAGATTTCTGTTTAACTGCCTTTAAATCTACTGTCTGGTTATTCCGCGGGCATCATGGCAAATGATTGTGGTGAGGATGAAGCGTGCTCGGTCACTGGCATTTGGAATAGTCCTTCCGAATGTGCTTCTCCAGCTGTTTTAAGTGCAAAAACCACTTCTGAGAGGATGAGTGAGGGACTGGAGCCTGCCCATCCGTAGATGCCCCGCACACCTTAAGCATTGCAGAAACCCTGCGTACCTCCGTCTGTCCGTCTCTCAGTCGTACAATCTAAGTTTTGGGTTATTGTTTCTAGACGGATTCTACAATATCATATGAAGTAGACGCTTGTTCCAGGCCACCCAGTCGGCCCCTTTTTCAATTGCATTCCGGAAATGGCCTTTTGTATTTACCATGTGTACTATTTGAGATCATTAAACCGAGTTTTGGCTATATTCGAAAGGAAATTGGCCCTCACCGCAGAGAAAAGACCACTGTGGGCACTAAACTGTCCGTATTGACCCAACAGCTGCTAGATCCATGTCCTCTGGTAAAAGCTGGGAATATGTATTTAGAAAGTGAGAGGACTCCCTACGTTTTGTGTATTGAGACCATTATTCGGACATTCATGTCTCCGATATGGCCGCCTTTTCGTATGGGTGTTAGAGAATGCCAACATTTTCTAACACCTTGCGGAAGTGCAAATAGCTTTCCGTGATGTTTATGCATTACCGATAAGAGTTCTCTACTATGCGCTGATTCTGTGAAAACACTTTAAACTTTACGTGCACCAATAATCTGAAATTAATTAAGACTCATGACACGGTGTCTCTCTCCCGGCTGACCTAAATAACATCGCCGCTATCTCAGATGATCAATGGGCTAATGTTCGAATACAGTTTGGAGGGAAGAATGTTTCAGGTGAACTTTTCCTCTAAAACTTATCACAGTATCTGAACAGCTGACTAAAATGCCATTTAATCACCCTGCGATGCCTTTCAACTTGAAGGTTGTTTTTAGTTATTATTAAATTAAGGGTATACTCTTGATATAAAAACTAATTGCAGGCCATTCTGGTTAAAAAGGCTCTCGAATAAAGTTAGAGGGCCCTTTCTAATGTATCTTTTAGGTTAAAGATTGTGGGAGTTTCATTCGGTCAACTAGATGAACGTCAGACTAATCCTGATCAGTGTTTTCGGGCTTTGTGCCGTTTTCGTATAAACAAATCGCTACAGAAATGGGTCTCACTTCACCTACATTACTGGCTGGAGATAAATTTAACAAAAAGGGACTAGAATGACCATTTAGAAGCCTATTTAGTTTCTACCTAGCGCGAGGGGGCACCGCGATTCAGGCATTCGCGGACGCTCATCCTTATGGTCCGGAGTACTCTGGACACTATAGACAATGAAGATCGTGATAATTTGCAGCCGGACGGGGTTTTGTGTTTCTAATCAGTTCTCATCAGCACTGTACCCGAGTCCGCAAATTAGCATCAAATCACTCTGTGACCGACCTAATGCACGACACATCACATACATACGAGTCGCCAAATCGACGCAAAAGAAGCCCTTCGGGTTGTATATCATGCGAAGCAAACTGCTCTAAAACAAAGGGTGTTTGCAACAGCGGAGGCATCGATTGTTCAGCTAGCAAGCCCACCGTTCTGAGAATGTCAAAAGATGTTGGTGCAAATGTCCCATTTTACGTGGCCAACGCCGACTCCAGGTGTTAATTACACACCGCCCCATCCCCCATTACAGTGCGTGTCAACACACAGGCATCGCTCACACTCTAACTCCGACCTCCCTGGCCCAGCCACAATGGCCATAACACTCCGACGTTTGCCATACGGACGGCCTTAGAACGAGGATTGTGAATAGTTCCCCGAAGCGTCTATAAACCCTGTTCAAGACACATACTTCCATGATACATGTACCCGTACTGACCTGATGGTGATGACGACGATGCCTAGAATACGGTTTCATTTAAGAAAATTAGCTTAAACCCCTCAGCCACACATGTGGAAATGCGTAAATATCCACCTAGCACACCATGCTGAACGGCGGATATCGGGATAGCAAACAGTCAGTTGGTTGGCTCCTACTGATCGTGCGGACGTTCACTAGTCCATAATGTTGCCATTAGTTGTTGCAATGTTGCGATGTTACGGCGAACCGACTCTGTGATCAAAGGCGCCGACAGAATATGGGATGAGATGCTAGTTTGTCGCTTCGTAAGCCTACCGTCTAATAAATGGCTCAGTAATTATTGGCACAGTCACGGTCCTAGTCGTACTTTCCGTCTTTTAGTGGCCCAGGCAATTTTAAATATTCATTTGGAGCCATTTCAGCCCAAAGAGCTGCTCACAGCGTTAATTACCAAAAACTGCCCTCCCCTACCGTCATCTCCTCGCACTTTGAATGCCAGCAGCTTTTTAATAGTGACAGAACGCTAACTGATCTAGGGGTCCATTTGAAATTAAAAAGATTTTTCGATAACTTCCTTCTTTCTGCCAACGAACTCAATAACGATTTCAAGCTTTATTACGACCAAATTAGATTCCCTTTGAGACTGAACCATAGTCTTCTCTTTCTTCACAATGAATTGCTCTTGAAGGCATATTTTCCGGTAACTTTGAGCAAACGAGTTTAGAAACCAAAGTATACATCAGCACAGACATCTATACTTTGCTGTAAAAGCTAGTTTCCTCCTTTTCACCAACTAAATGTCCCGCCCGTAGCCAGCTCTCGGACAAAATTTTAACAGCTGCCTGTCTACTTGCATCTGCTCCTTGTTATAGTATTGGTTCGCGGCTTTCGGATTTATCTGCAAACGGGCAACAGTAAGGAAGAAAATACACCTGTTTAATGGTGTGTCCTAATCCATGGCCCTGGATAAAAGAATTTTGTCCGAAAATAACTATTTCATTGGTCCGTTACTTGTATTATATCGCCCAATAGCATGACGCCAGTTCTGTGCGAAATAGTAGGCAGGCAGGATAGCCGAGAACAGCTTTACTGCGATAGTCACTCTGTGTGCATCAACTCTCGATCCTTCTGCCCGTAGATTTGTAATGAAGGGTTCTGTCCTTGTCTGGTTTGTATGTTCCTACCGGTCCAGCGCTGAGCGCCCGCATGGGCAGACCCTCGTGTGTCGTTGACCCCCGAGGGTCTCGCGTAACTCGGCCGTGTTAATTGCTGGCTCGCAGGCGGGCTTGCTGGGCAAGACTTCTCTGCGGATCTGCAGCAATTCTTCGCCAGACGTGACTGCCACACGACAGGAATGGTGCGCCATGTTTCGGGCCGTCCAACAACTTGGAAGACTTTGGCGAGACGATGTATGCCATAATAGTTCTTTCCGCCCGACAGAGGTGTTCAAAACGCCCAGTGTGGATGCACTTGCTCTTGGCGCTTGACGATCTACGCTTTAGGCGTGATACGCATGTACAGTAGATGTGCAAACTCATGAAATGTCAACCAAAATTTCGAAATGCGTTCTCGTTTCGAAAGGTAAATTAAGTAGTGTTGTAAAACTCATCATGATGCAGCATAAATCTATAATGATCCAGTTACCTCAGGGTGTCGGCTTTCGAAAGAACTTATTTTCGGCTGCATGCAAGATCTATATTCTGCAAAAAAATGACTACTTATGTAGTATTCAATTTTCCTACTTATTTTCGATGCCCTTGAAAATTCAATTATATATTTTATGGAAAACATGCATAAAATATTCGTTCTTTTACTTATTCGGTAGAAATTCACGTCTTCTTTCAATTTCATACTCAAAAGAAGAGTATAATTCGATTTTAAAAAAACTTTTCTTATTCCCGATTAATTTTGAACCCAACCTGCTGTTACATTTGCATTCCATGCATTTCTCTACGGTGTTAAAAGGAGACCATATGAGGTTCATAAAATTCGGCAGTGGATTTGAGCAATATTGTTAACGTTACAATGCACAGTCGTAAATGCAGATACATGACGTTTCATGCACGGCCATTTAACGGTATTAAAAAATCTCACAAGTAGAACCTTTTTTTCAAATCGGACTATGCTCTTCTTTCGAGTATGAACTTGGAAGAAGACGTGATTTTCTACCGAATAAGTAAAAGAATGAATATTTTATGCATGTTTTCCATGAAATATAATTGAATTTTCAAGGGCATCGAAAATCAATGAGAAAATTGCATACTACATAAGTAGTCATTTTTTGCAGATTATAGATCTTGCATGTAGCTGAAAATAAGTTCTTTCGAAAGCCGACACCCTGAGGTAACTGGATCATTATAGATTTATGCTGCAGCATGATTAGTTTTACAGCACTACTTAATTTATCTTTTCGAAAAGAGAACGCATTTCGAAATTTTGGTTGACATTTCATTATTTAGCACATCTACTGTAAGCCATTCACGCAGTACTAAAAGAGCTGTCAATAGACCTGAACTCTAAGTTAACCCAAAAGTCTGTCAAAGAGCTCCATAGTATCACTTTGAGATCCAGCTATGTTGGCCTGCGTTACCGATAAGTCATCTCCCAACAAGGACAGATTTCGTAAGCCGACGGCTGGCCTGAAGTGAAGATTTCAACAGGACTAAAATCGGAAATTAGAGATCCTTATGATTCAGCATTAAATTTTGAGGCCTCTTGCATAACCACTGAAGTTCTCGTCGAGGTGCAAACACTGGCCGTCAGAAGTTTATTAAATTAAACGCCACGGAAACGGGATTAGCAAGTCAGTCTTCACTACCAGAATAAGTGCTCAACCACTTAGGAGGTCGGCATCAGGGAATCATGCATCACGTTTTTAGCCAGTCGTTGTTGTTTTGTCTGGGCGGGGAAGTGTACGTCTGGGAAATGTCAGGTTATGGATAATCTGTGACGAACAACATCAATCGGCGTCATGGCGCTGCAAAGCCGGAGGCCTAAATTGCACAAGGAGTAAGCTTTCCGCTATTAGGTAGAGCCGGGCGAAGAGAGGGCGTTTGGACGTTGTCGCCAAGCCTATTAGACAGTCATAGTGTTTCGGTGTATAAACAACAGTTTAGTTTGATACCATCAGTGGAGAATAATTTGTCTCGCACGAAAGCTTCATTTTGAGCCTTCACCGAGTGCTAATCAAAAAAGGAGTTGTGATTATCCTGGAGTGAAACTTTATGCGAACCTAAGGGAGGCCAGTAGCTTGCGCATTTAGCAAGACGTCTGCATTTGGTGGCCAATTAAATGCATCGGCACGTATAGACAGAATGCGAACTACTTGTTTAATTGGTTGAGTCTCGGTCGTTGTCAGGAGGCTCTGACGCAAACATTACACCTACCTTTCCATTATGCGATATAAGATGGGCAGGGCGTTACCATTGTCACTGCCCTCTCGGCATGAAGCAAAGTCAACAGGAGGGAAGTACGGACTGATTTATTCCAACTTGTACATAGACAAATACCTCATCTAGGCGCATGGTAGTAAATGGGTAAACAGATGTCACTCGATGGCCCTGAACGGTGCTATAATCGAGAGATGGCTCTTCCCACATACAGGCAGGTATACATCAAAAATGGTCGAAAAGATCGATTATTAAGAATGTGCACTAATCCACTGACCTCGAGATAAGGACTTCGTCCAAATGAAGTACTTGGTTGACTTGAAATTCCTTAGCGTGTTGGTGGGTGCCAGAACAGTATATTCGTTCTTTAAGAGTATCAGGTAAATTATATGCTGTGAGCCTTTAAATTAGACTTGGCTAATGACCGCAGGCTTCAGAGGAGAAACAATAAGGATTTGGTGTTTATCCACCACAAGCAGGCACCTTGTGCGCAGATAATTTGCCCCCTGGGGAGATTCTGACACAAATCCAACCAATGAGAGCAAATCGGCGGTGAAGGTATTTAAAAGGCAGACAGTGAGGGCAGCGCAGTTGAGAATGTTAATTTGCTTGTGGTTGGAGAGACGAAACCGAATGTGGCCAATTGGATAGTGACTATCTCCGTCCCATGACACAATCTGACCGAAAGTGAGCCCACAGAACACAACAATTTTAACCTAACATTAACTTCGGGATTTGAAGTTCTCACATAAAAATGCTTATTCGAAAGTGTGTAATGAATGTTTTTAAGATGGTCAGCGTTTATTTAACTCTACCTCTAACGGTTTTCATCTGACACTTTATAGCTGACTATTTCCACGAATTCACAGCACTTATGAATCAAATGACAGTGGGAATAGAAGAAGTCTATCCTGCGACAGATAATGCATGACCTCCAATTTGGTAGCTGTTACGTAGACTAGGTTTCCAGATTCTCGAACGGACTATCTGTTTTGAGTGTATACTCTAACCAACTTGCATGTAGGTAGGTGAGTAGTAATCTTCAGGTTGAAATTCTCGTATCAGTACTGAATCTACCCCTCTAATTTCCCCCCAAAATTAGTGCGTAAACTTGGAGTAAATCCTTCGGAGCGGAGATTTTAGGGCCGATCAGAAAGAAGACATGAATGGTTGCGTTGGCATCCACCAGCTACTGCTAGATAACTGCGTAATAGTCACAAACGGCCAACAGGCAGTCATTAGTATGCAGCAACTAAATGCAACAACTAAAGCATATACCTTACTGGCGGCACACGTATTAGATAAAAGTCTAGACATCTGTTTCACTGATCTTGTTTAGCTGCACAAATTGCGTCTGTGTCACTATTAACCTCATTAACAACCTTTTTTGACAAATAATTCCATTTATATTACTCGCATGCTCCAGAAGGATCACACTTAGCCTAGTGCTGATTTATCTGCGATGTTTTTCTAAGCTGATGTAGCGGTTTCGAAGTTATATTTTCTCTCCCGCGTAGGTTTGAAGATAGTTGTACTATTGTGTGACGATGGTGAAGTTTAGACGGTTAATTTCCTGCCCAGGAAAAGCAGTCCTACCGGCATTTGCACGCGACATGTCCATGGTTTGTTCTAGTTCAGCAGATAACTTGTAAAGTGTACATACAGCGGTTATGCTTAATGCCCATGTATTGTTTTAGCCTCTAACTATATCGGGAAGTTTGCCGTCTACAACGGACCAAGCAGAAGATGCACTGGACCAACACGGGGACTAGACACGCGTTATTAAACTACGCACCCATAACGAGTGCCATACACAGGGGGGTGGTGGTTGCCCGTCTCGACACAGGATCCTGCCGCGCCAGTTAGCTACGATCGGTCCCGCCTCTGGTCTTCTTGACTCTATACTTGCACCGGACCCAGGAGGGTGGGGAGGAGAGATTGTGGTTGATGTGGCATGAGTCCACTACAACTATCAACTTATTCACACCTAACTTACCGTTCCTGCACCCACCCTGTTCAGGAACACTCGGCGAACATCGTCAAAAACGACAGCTAAGCTCTCAGGTTGCGCGTTGTTCACGTCTGGATTTAAATTCGTTCCAGTTATGATCTAGAGAAAGTCAGTATGTCCACCATAGAAGTTCACTTCAATAAAAATGTGAAGATTCTGCACTTTGTGGGCGACAGTAAACACGCAGGAGGGCAATATTAACCTGAAGAACCTCGTGAAGACATTGGTACACCTAAATGAAAATGAGTCAGAATTTCGACGAAGTCCCATTTCGGGCCCTTGCGCTGTAAAGCGGAATGCTGGCTAGGTCTCACATCTGGCTGGACCTGTTATAAATGACTAGTACACCACAGTCTGCGTTACTGTAACTTCTAGCTAGATTTTAATCAAAGAGCAACCAGTCTGCAGTCAGGAGTTTCAGTCGTTCAGAGACGGGGCAAAAGCATGTGTGTAGACTGGCTACATGGGGCAAGACGGACCCAGAATCCTATTTAAAGAATATTGCACAGCAATTAGGCCCTACTAAATTGCTGACGACTTCAGATTGCATTCCCGGCCAGATGGGGCAAATTTATGACATGGGAGCAATGAAATCGGCAACAATTATCAGGTAGTTGTCTACACCAAGTTATCTCACTGTTCTGAGCCGCTTTTGAGCCCAAATTACGTTCTCTCTATCTGAAGATCTTACACTTTTTGTAACCGAGTTTATTTTACTTAAAGTCTGCATTTCAAAGGCGAGAATCTGTCATGTGCAGCATCGTGCATACGTAAATCGTGGACGTCGGAATCCAGTCACATAAATAACTCGGAGGAATCCTGTTAAAGTGCACTTTTTGTTAAGTAAGAGTTGCTAAACGATCTTCCATGTACTCGCTTCAGTTGGCTGACGGTGATAATTTCTGACTACAGATTGTTCCCTTGCATTTATGGTTCACGTTTTGGGATCAGACTAACACGCAAGCG